AGCGAAGTTGGCCAAGAACCTCATCCTGGCAGGATTCAAGGGCTTGACCATGCTGGACCATCAGCAGGTGAGCTCCAGAGCCCTCCTGCTGCTTTGGGGCGGGACAGGGCCCCTTTGGGGTGCAAAGTTTTGGGGCGGGATGGGTCCGTTTTGGGTCAGGATCGCTCCGTTTTGGGACACGATCCCAAACCAGCCCCATGGGGGGTCGAAATTCCCAAGCTGGAGCTTTGGGCCCTGTGGCAAACGTGTTCCTGACGTGAACATGGGCTCCAGGTTGTGGCCTGGCGTCTCCTCGGGCACAAGAGGGAGCTGCGAGCCCGGAATCCAGCTCCAGATCCATAGGGATTGAGGAACCAAGCAACCAAGAGCTTTATTCCTCCTGGTTGTCTCTGTTCCGCTTTGAGCTCGCGGGGGCTTCTCCCACCTCCCCACAGAGTCATCCCGCTGTTTCCTCCCATTCCAGGTTTCCCAAGAGGACACCCGGGCTCAGTTCCTCATCCCGGGGGGATCCTTGGGCCGGAACCGTGCCGAGGCCTCCCTGGAGCGGGCGCAGAACCTCAATCCCATGGTGGAGGTCAAAGCCGACGCCGGGAACGTGGCCACCAAACCCGAGGAGTTCTTCACCCAGTTCGATGCGGTGCGATGGGGCCTGGGGGGGGTGCTCTTCCCAATCACCCCACTGTTAATTGTGCTCCTGCTTTGCTGCTCCTGCCTCTCCGCCTGCTTCCCTTGGGATGGGATGGGGCTGGCACCCAGAGGATTCCAGGCTGGTTGGAGGAGGAACAGCAGCACATCCGGGTCTGGAGCTCCTGTGGATCAGCTGCTGGTGGCAGGAGCTGTTGAGGGGGATATGGATAACGTGGAGCGACCCCCATCCACGTATCCTGGGATAGACAGGTTTAAAACCATCCCTACTTAGCTCCATCCCACAATTCCCACCAAAATGAGGAGGTGCCATGTCCCCAAAAGGCTGTGACAGGAGAGGAAAACTGCTCATTGACCTGGAATAACCAATCCGGAGCCTTCCACCCAGCAAGGAGGGAGCCGGGGGGGGGGGGACCATTCATTCCCGTTCCCATTCCCACCTGCAGGTCTGCCTGACCTGCTGCTCCCGGGATGTGATGGTGAAGATCAACCACATCTGCCACAAGAGCAGCGTCAAGTTCTTCGCCGGGGATGTTTTTGGCTACCACGGTTACATGTTTGCTGACCTGGGGGAGCACGAGTTCGTGGAGTGAGTGTGGAAGGGGCAGCGTCCCATCAACAGCCCTCCTGGTGCTGGGCTCTTCCCTCGGGATCAAGGAGGGGATTCTCCCACCTTAGAGCCTAAAGGGGCTCTGGGAAACCTGGAGAGAGGGGCTTTGGATACGGGATGGAGGGATGGGATGGGATGGGATGGGAAGGAAGAGCTTCCAGCTGGAAGAGGCGAGAGTTGGATGGGATATTGGGATGAAGCTCTTCACTCTGAGGGTGGTGGGACACTGGGATGGGTTGAAGGGAGAAGGTTTGGATGAGCAGTGCCCAAGGCCAGGCTGGAGCAACCTGCCCCTTGCTTGGAACCGGCTGAGCTTTAAGGTCCCTTCCAACCCACCCCATTCCATGGTTCCATGATAAAGTTGAGGATGATCCTGGCTGGGTTGAATGGGGAAGGTTTGGATGCCCCATCCCTGGCAGGTTGGAGCAACCTGCCCTATGGAAGGTGTCCCTGCCCCTTGCTTGGAACTGGATGAGCGTTAAGGCCCCTTCCACCCAAACCATTCCATGAATCCAGGATCATTTGCCGTGGGACAGCACAAACGAGGGTTTGGGGCTTCTCCATGTTTTACTTCCACAGGGAGAAAACCAAAGTGCCCAAAGCCAGCCCGGGCGTGGAGGACGGGCCGGACACCAAGAAAGCCAGAGTGGATCCCTCCGAGACCACCATGGTGAAGAAGGTGAGTGGGAAAATCCCGCTGGAAACCTCCGGGATCCAGCACAACCAGGGGACTCCTCGGGAACCTCAGCTCCGGTATTCCCGACACCTCCAGGGTGATGTTTTGGTGCTCACAGTGATCCTTTGGACTGGGTCATCCCGAGGGGGGGGGATGTTTATAGGGGGACACCCCCCCCCCAAGCTCTGGGTGCTCCCACCCTGCCTGCTGCTTGCTTCCCATACTGGGGTGAGGGAATTCCCGACTGGTTTTGATGGGAAAGGGGGGGTGCACCCAGTTTTCCAGGCTGTGAAAGCTGCATTGTTGTTGCTGAGCTCCCCTGGAGGAGGTTTTCCATGTCTTGGGGATGGAATCTGCTCCAAAGCCAAACCTTTTCACATTGAAATGCCTCCGGCTGGGCATTGTTTCCCTCTCCCAGCTGGAATTTGGAGGGAGAAGTGGAAATCCCCCCCTGGCTGTGAGGAGAAGCAGCTGAGCCCCCCTTTGTGTCCCTCTGCCTCACTTGGGGGTGCAGCTTCCCCTCGGAAGGGCTGGGAATATTCCCGGGATGCCAATGGAAGCAGCTGTCACCCTCCTGCCGTTTGGGGGTGGTGGGGTGGTGATTCCAAGCCTGGAATTCTTCCGGATCCGTTTTGGAGATGCCAAAGCCTCGTGTGCCCTGAGCTGTTCCCTGTGTCCCTGTGGGAGACCTTCAGCTCCTTGAACACCTCCAGCTCCAGAGCTGGTTCTCCCAAAGACTCCAGAGTTTGTGCTTGGGAAATCCCATCCACAACTCCGATCCCAAGGGATAACAGTGCCATGGAGCCAGGCTGAGAGCTGGGCTTGTCCAGCCTGGAGCAGAGCAGCTCCCAGAGCCTAAAGGGGCTCCGGGAAACCTGGAGAGAGGGGCTTTGGATACGGGATGGAGGGATGGGATGGGATGGGTGGGAAGAGCTTCCAGCTGGAAGAGGGGAGAGTTGGATGGGATATTGGGATGAAGCTCTTCACTCTGAGGGTGGTGGGACACTGGGATGGGTTGAAGGGAGAAGGTTTGGATGAGCAGTGCCCAAGGCCAGGCTGGAGCAACCTGCCCCTTGCTTGGAACCGGCTGAGCTTTAAGGTCCCTTCCAACCCACCCCATTCCATGGTTCCATGATAAAGTTGAGGATGATCCTGGGCTTATCCCGTTGGGAAGAGCCGGTGCCTTTTCCATGCATCCCTCTCATGCCATGTCCCGGCAGCGCCTCGTCTTCTGCCCACTGAAGGAGGCTTTGGCTGTGGACTGGAGCGGGGAGAAGGCGGCAGCAGCGCTGAAACGCACGGCCCCGGATTACTTCCTGCTCCAAGGTAAGGGCCCCATTCCCTGCTCCCATTCCCTGCTCCCAT